CCCCCCCCAAACCCCCCCCCCCCGGTCCTACTCTACAGGTAATTTTTCCCTTTTCAGGGATGATAGTAGCTTTCCCTTTGCTCTGGTTTTTCCCAGGCTCTCCAACTGCAAACACATAAGTATATTTACTTTGAAAACTAATGTAAGGTTGGCTTTGATAATTAAAGTCATGTATATGGAACTAACCTATGCAGATTTCTGTAGTCATGGAAATAAAAAATGAAAGAACACATAACGAAAACCAACCTTGAGAGGTTCAAAAACCTCTGAATCCAGAATTGTTATATTGTGCCCCTCCCCATAAACCAACTTCTTCGCTCTTCCATCAAGTATTACCGAAGAAAGAAAATAATCTCCTACTGGAGGAAAAATAAACTCATCCCCTGCCCCAAAAGAAATATTCAACAATAACAAATTCACATCAAAAATATAATAGCAGCAGAAAAGAGAGGCCATGTTTATTAACTTTTCCAATTACCTTACAACTGTAAACAACCAGACACAAGCTAGCTTCTTCACAATCAGAAGCTCTAATGAATTTGACTATAATTTCTAAACCCAAACCTCCATGACAATCAAGGATTTCTAAAACTTCGTATCTGTCACAGGAGCCTGAGAGGCAACCACTTTCTCTCCCTATTTTCTTCTGCGGACATGATTCAACCTCTCCTAAGAATTAACAACAGCAGGGCCTGCATCCTTGGTCCTCCACAACCCCCACTGGTGCTTATACAGTGCACAGGAGAGCAGGAAAGCAGCAGGAAGCAGCCAGCTTCATCACACCAGACGCCCTCACCTGAAGAAGTCATGGGACAGTAAGGTGCAGAGCGCTGGCCGACATTTGGGAATGGGATTCAGCAAAGTTGAGTGCAAGGTCTGTTGAAAGCTGGACAGAACATCCGCTGAAACTGAAATCCAGAGCTACAGTTAGTTTCCAATGCCTTCTCCCTCTTTTCAGGACCTCTATAGCTGGAGACTGACGAGAGCAAAAACCAACCTGTAAAAGCCCAAACAAAAAAGCCCTGGCTGTTGCTAAACAGCTTCCTGCTTGCCTTAGGCCAAACTTCTTGGCAGATAGAGAAAGTTCCTGTGCCATGCCAACACATCCAGCCCCACCCCAGGTGCCTCCCCCATTCTATTCCCTCTTTTTCTGATTGTCTGTCTAAGCCAGCTCAGGCCCAAAGGAGGTTTAATAAGGGGGAGGTTTGAGGGCCTTTCTCAATCAGAGTTCCTCATTCACAGAACACAGACAGTTACTTGAATTCAGTTCTTCAAAGGATGGTTCAAAACTGCCACCATTCTACATGCATAGGAGAACAGTTAGTTTACTACATACAACAGATGCCTTAGGGCCTTATGTTTCAATTCTCAGGTTTAGGCTGGGACAATTTAGAGCTGACATCCAGGAGGTACTTGTAACATCAGAACACTGCATCAGCTTGGTAGAAGAAACTGCATTAGAACTGCACAAAGCTTCAGCAATGTGAGATATAGGCCAGAAAGGGACCTAATATGACATGTGTCTTAGTAAACTTAATGAGTGGAAAATTAAAGGCCTAGAGTGGTCACAGGAGAGTGAAGCAGGCTGCCAAGCATAAATTAGAGAACACAGAAGAGAGTAGAAAATAATGTCTTTAGTAGCCTGGACTTTAAGGGGCAATGAAAGAAAAAAGTAATGAGTACATTACAGCAAGAAGAAGATAAATCAAAAGGACTTTGAAAGAACAGAGATAAAGAAATGTTAAGCCTGATTTAGAAATTAATTTAACAAAAAATTTTGAACCTTACTCTATTATGCAGATTATTACACATAAATCATCAAAGACATTCGTTTACTTATTGGCTAGCTCAATAAGGAATAGAGTCTTTAGACCATAAATACTGTTACCAATTAATAAGATAATCACACCATACTGACAGCCATAGTTCAAACTGCTTCCGGCTTAAAATTCTTTTCACTATGAAAACTAAAGGAAACCTACAGCTTCTTTCCTAACTGCTGTTCATATCTGCCCTAAAAAAAGTTACTTGGCAAGCAATAGGTTCCCTATTGTAATTAAAGACTACAGTCCTTTGAATTCCACACAAAACAGGCTGTGGATAATTTTCCTACTTAATCTGTGGATGCAGTAGTTTAACTCCAACTCACCCTGTCCATTTAAGATTGTGAGCAAACTTTCCACCAATGTTCCGAATGAATAGGCATCCCGGGCATGTCCATGAGACTCTGGGAGAGTTGTGAATTCTGGAGACTAAAAGTAATAAATACCATTAAAACAAGAAGATCTGCTTATGAATCATTTCTAATTTTCTATGCAGCACTTTCTCTTATATTTGCATTTATTTACACTCGAATCTAACTTTATGGTACCACGTACTAACACACTAATTTATGGGCTCTTAAAACTATTAGTGAATAGGGCTGGCCTGTTAGCTCAGTTGGTTAGAGCATGGTGCTGATAACACCAAGGTCAAGGGTTCAGATCCCCTTACCTGCCAGGTGCCAAAAAATAAACTAATAATAAATAAAGAATCCGTAACACCAAAACTGTAATAGATATAGAAAGAATAGATAAATTAGTATTAACATTATTATTAAGAGTGCTGGCCAGTTAGCTCGGTTGGTTAGAGCATGGTGCTGATAACACCAAAGTCAAGGGTTCAGATCCCCATACCAGCCAGCCGCAAAAACAACAACAACAACAACAAAACTGGTAGTGAATGGAATTAATCAAAGATTTTAAAATATCAAGCAGGCAAAAAGAAAAAAAAAAAAGGTCAGAATATGATACGTCTGTGGCTTTCAAAAATATTTTTAACTGTAACCAGAGCAAAAATTTTACCTTATATCATGACCCAGTAGACACACATATGTATAAACACACACATACTGGAAATAAAAGTTTCATAAAACAGTACTTAGCCTATCATCTGAGATGCCCAATGATATTTTCTCCTTTACTCCTTTTTTTTTTTTTTTAAATGCTGGGCAAGACCCCCTGAATTGACTTAAAACCCACAAATCACCAGTTTGAAAAATGTTAGCATAGATACACCATACTGATTTGGATAAACCTGATTTATTCCAAGTCTTAGGTCTAAACTTAAGTTTATAGTTGAGTTTGTATTTCTGTAAGGCACACTAAATATAACTTTGGGGATCAATGTTTATTTACAATGGTTACAAGAATGAATTTATGTGAGCATCTGTTTTTGAATATACTGGTAAAACAGAATCTTTCTTTATCAACATCATAGTATTAATAATCACTCTTTAATGCATCTTGGAATCCTAACTAATGGCCAGCGAGGCAGATGAATGGCTTGGGTGAAGCACAGGAAAGGACTACGGATGCTGCTTCCTCAACTATTGTGGCTTCCAGCAAAGTACAATGACTTATCGTGAAATGACATGACACCCTGTCTACACTGAGTCATCTCTATCTTTAAACAATATAGTAGGTGTCAACAGAACCAAAAAATGTAAGCTGGCTCCCTAGCTGTGGTGATAAAATTAATCTCAGAAGCCTTCAGGGCCAAAGGAATTATGAGACATCCATAACTTAGTAAAGAAAGTGATGAGCAGAAAAGTTTCACAGTCGGTTACACAAAGGAGCCTTCACTACATCTGAAGCATAACATCTTACCATCTCTTCGGGAGGGATACATGCTGTGTCTCTTACTGACTGAATACTCCTCAGAAACTATACGGAGAAATAAATTAAATAAATTAATGAAAATAATTTGTACATATGTTTAGTGAATCAATCTTTTATACCAAGTTACAAAAGCAATGAGCAATGGAAACAGCAGCAATGAGACCTTCAAATCAACGTCACCCATTAAATTTAAAATCTTCCTAATTATAAAAATGTAAATGCAGTACCTGGCACAGTACAAGGCTTAGGAGAAAGTAAATTTTAGTTTCCTTTCCTCTCCCCTTCAGCTGGTTTAACAGACAACTTCTGCTATTCAGGGTCATGTGTGCATCTGATTTGTTTATATGGAAATTAGGAATACTTTTTTCTCTTCCTGCATAGATACTAACAATTAAAAGGCTTTTCTAGCACAGAACAAATCTATCATTAATCTTCTCACTAAATCAAGTGAATCTTAAGTCTTGTCACCACAAGATATAAAAGTTGAGGGAATTATGAGCTATGAAGACTAAATCAATATCCACAGAATAAGCGCATTCATTTGCTAATTTAAAGATTATTTTCGAAGAGTTTATATATGTCCCAAACACCATTTAGAGCACCAGGAATTCAAAATGAATGCCATAAATTCCCTGCTCCCACACAGGTGCTCACGACCTCGAATGTAAACTAAGAATCTCAGTAAATGTGCTGAGTGCCAGGGAAGCACAGAGGAGTGACTAATTTTGAGTAGGGGAATGCCTGGGGGAAGGAGTCAGAGAAAGGAGACTTAAGCCAGATCTTAGATGAGTTTACACTTTCCAGGGAGTGGAGGGGAAGAAAGGCATTCCGACAACAGAATGGCATACAAAGGAAGAGGAAGGAGTATGGCCCATCTGGGAACACAGCTGAGGGAATAGGATATAACCAGAGAGTAGCTCAACAACTGTGAGTGGTAAGTGGAGCTGAAGGTAGGGTGGGGAAGAGACTGTGAAAGGCCTTATATAAACGCCACGGCAAAGAATTTGGAATACAGACCACAGAAAAATAGACATAAGGTGAATTCAAAGAAGAAAGTGGTCAAAGGGGACAAAAATAATGACTATCTATGCAGTAGAAACAGCAGTAGAAAGAGCCCGTGAAGGTGCACATCACACAATGCCCAAGTTACGTGTGGGCACAGCACGAAAGAGAACAGGGGAAATCAGATTGAGCCACTGAGGCAAACAGAGAGCCACTGCCTTCAGTAGGGATATTATGATGGGAGGGATTTCATTTTCTCTTTTTAGGAGGAGGGAGTCCAACAGCAACATGAAAAATAGCAGAAAGAAGCAAAACAGAAAACAGAAAGGTTTGTCGACCTAGGAGGGAAATGTGTAGCATTCCATCAGACAAAATTATAAGTAGTGCCACTGGCAGCAACGACACAGCCCCTGAGGAGGAGTTAAAAAGCACAGGTCATCATTCCAGCTGCTTCATGTATGACTCTGGGCAACATGGACAACTGTTCAATGGACATTTCTTACATACCCGATATACACCAGGCACTACGCTAGGTGGAGCTATAAAAAGATAAATATAAGAGACTATCACACCCTCAAGAAGCTCAGCTAATGGAATAAAAGACAGACACATACAGGTAATTTCAATATTAAGCATTAAGTGGTATGATCAAAGTAAGTACTGTATGGGGTACTACAGGAGCAGTGATAAGGGGCATCTAATCAAAATATTTGAACAAATCACTTGTTCTCTCTCAATCTCAGGTTCCTCATCTATAAAATGAGGAGAAAAGAATATACGACCTCTAGTCCCTCTTTAAGGAATGAAATCCTAAAAGTCTATGAACATAGGCACTGACAAAAAAAATCAAGTCTCCAAATCTAAGATCACACTATCATGGAAAGAAAGTGCCTGGGTAACTGGCCAGCTGCCAATAAATTAAAATTAAAATTAATAAAATATAGAAAGTACCTGGGTAAAAACCACATTCCAAGATGCTATCAAATCCTAAATAAGGAAAAAGAGCTGCCACCTTGCTTACCTCTGGTGTGGCCTGAGGAATTTTACAAACAGTTTCCATTCCTCCTAGCTTCCAGTGCCCATCTTCACTCACAAACACAGATGATAAGCAGACATTGTTGTGTGTTAGGTGACCCTGGAAGAAAACAACAGGAAGAAGACTGCCACTCCCATTTTTGAAGTAGAAATTCTAAAAAACTAAATACTCGTCACCAAAAAAAAAAACTATAAAAACACGCCTTCCCACTTGTGGCATAATAAATGGAACTGTCTTTAAGGAATGGTAAACTGAATGAGGTTAGAAAAAAGGAAAAATGCAATGGAAAGGCTTATATTATCTCCTCCTGCCTGGTGAGACAGGTTGATAAAGACATTAATGCCACTGCACTGATGTAGTCACCTCCCCATTTCTATGGGAATCAAGAAATACATGTGTCCTTAAACATAAATTTACAAGTCTTTATAACCTATATTATTTGCTGCCAATGTCTCTAAAGATAAAATTTATCTTTGTTCCCATGGGTTACTTTATTAATTATCTCCTCTAAATTCTTTCTCACCTACATTCTATCACGAACCCAGATCCACTTCACCTGAAATCTTGTCAGTAGGCATTAAAAAAATTCTGCCTATAGAAGACGAAAAGGGAATGATAAGGACCACCAGAAATATCCCACAGACCACAGAAGAGCCAATTAAAAAAACAGAACAGTCAAATAAGTATGAAGAGGGAGAAAATGAGAACAGGGCTAAAGTATTTAAGTTTTCTTCCAAACCAGAAACCATTCCAGCAGATGAAAGAGCACTTTAAATATTCTACCCACTAGATCAAATATGAACATATTTTTATATAGAACACTCATATATATTTTTTTTTAAGAAAGATTTAGAATAGTTACGTATGGTATGTTTTCATTTGAGAAAAAATAAAAGAGAATAAGCATATGTATATTTGCTTTATAAGCACAAAGAACATCTTTGGAATAACAAATTGCTCACCATGGCTGCCTTTGGAGAAAAGAATTAGAGCACTGGATCCAAGGATGAGAGAGAGACTTACTTGGTCCTATATGCACTCTCATACTATGCAAACTTTTTACCATGTGCATGCACTTTCTCCAACAAGGATATTCCTCCCCAGTGAAACATCAATAGTTCTTATTATGTGAACTTGGAAACATACATTTAACTGGATCCAAGGATGAGAGAGAGACTTACTTGGTCCTATATGCACTCTCATACTACGCAAACTTTTTACCATGTGCATGCACTTTCTCCAACAAAGATATTCCTCCCCAGTGAAACATCAATAGTTCTTATTATGTGAACTTGGAAACATACATTTAAGAGATTATAAATCAAACATGATATTTGGAGAATCTCTCTCCCATTAGTAGAAAAAATTTAAAAACATACATTAAGATGAATCAAATGCAAATGTTTCTAACCTGTGACTAATGTTTTTTAATCTTAGGAGGCTGCCAAAGACCTTAATGCTTCAGAATGCAAATAAAAGAAAATAGCTCAATAATACTGTCAAGAAATAGACCAGAAGTAAACACAGGAACTACTATAGTAACAAACATTGCCACAGAGCCAAGCATACCGGCTGCACCACAGAGTATCTCTCAATTTGCCACACCTACTCAAATCGGAAAGAATGTGTATAAAGTCTGCCTCTTCCTAAGAAATGGTCATGTCTTTTCTTCAAAATTTATAATGAAACAAAAATCCTGAAAACAAATAGGAACTTGGGTCTATAGCAGCACTGATGTAAACCATTATCTTTGGCTTATAAAAAATATCAGCTGAAGCTATTTTTAGATAAAGACTTAAAATAGAGGTAGACTATAGTAAACTGAAATAAATTTCTATAAATAACTTCCCAGGGACAGGGAACTAAGTTGCCCATTCCCCAAACCATCTGTCTGTAGCACCTCTTGTGCCTTCCACTGTGCTATTTTTTCTCAGGAAGCTTTCAAATAATAACTCACAATTTCTATATATACCAAAATTTACAAGCACTATCACACACATCAGCCTCCGGTCTACCTCAAAGCCTGTGAGGCAGACTGTACAAGTTACTTACTCTGTCATGAAGGAAGGTAAGAGCCAGCAATATGTCATAGATCCCAGCACAGACCTCTGCAGAAGACAATGTTCCCAAAGCCACTTCCAGAGGCTGCACTCGCTCAGTGACGAGATGAATTCCATCTGCTTCCACAGTACATGATAAAAATCTTAGCAAGCAAGGATGACGAAGTGTCTTCAAGTGCTTTAAAAATACAAACAGAAGAGTTGATGAGGTTAGACTCGCAACCAGATTAATTACAGTTTCACGTATATCATGGTAAGAGTCAGAAAACATATACTTGCATTTAAGGTCATTTCAGCTTTCTACCTTCTCCCTTATCTTCCAAATTTCAAATAAAGCAAAAGAGAATCTGTAACTTGTTCTGACTCTATTCAGTTTACAAACATTTAAATAATTCTACAGAGACTTCCAGCTCCTTTATGGTAGTATCAGCCCCCTAAGAGCCCAGATCTCCCAATGACTACTGCTGTAAACTGTAAACAATGTGCCAATAACTGCTACCTGATAACTCTGAAAGTAAACAAAAGCACACATGTTATGGAAAGGAATAAAAACTTCAGGAAGCAACACTGACACAAGACACCCTATCCGACCCCAGAACACCCCACCTCGTTTGGAGAATTTTTCCCCTTCTCACAACTATGCCCTGCTGGCAGGCCCAGTTGCAAAGCAGTGTAACAAAGGTGCTAAAACTCCAATAAAAACCTTGCCATCTTTCTGGCTAGAAGAATCACAGAAAGAAACCCCGGCAGGCCAAAGTATGAGAAGGATATCCCAGAGGGAAGAGTGCTGGATGCTATAATTTTCTGCATATCCACAAATCCTCAAACCCCTAAACCAGGCATGCACAGGATACACCCAAACCAGCATAGCAGAGTTTTGTGAAATGAACCGAGATTTGAACTACCATTCACAGGAAAAGTGGGAGGAAAGTAGCTCAAAAACCTGAGGCCTGAACCTAAAGGGATTAATTGCCTGCTAAATCAAAAACGTCAACATTCTCAAAAGGATTAAAACAGAATCAAGAGTCTATGCTACATGACATTCAAAATGTTTAGGATGCAATTCAAAATTACTCAACATACAAAGAACTATGAAAATGTGATCAATTCTTAATGTAAAAGACAGCCAACAAATACCAATGCTAAAATGACCCAGATATTAGAATCATAAGAAAGAATTTAAAGCTGCTATTATAGTCATTTTCTTAAAGATAAAAGAAAACAATTATAAAACAAACGTAAAGACAGAAGTTCTCAGAAGAGACGTTAAAATTACATAAAAGACTGCTACAGTGCGCCACTTGAGAGCGCGGTGGCGCTCCCGCCGAGGGTTCGGATCCCACATACAGACCGGTTCCCGCTCACTGGCTGAGCGAGGTGCGGGAGCAACGCTGAGGGTTGCGATCCCGTTGCCGGTCCGGGTCCGGTCCGGGCGCGACACTGAGGGTTGCGATCTGTTGCCGGACACGAAAAAAAGACAAAAAGGAAAAAAAAAAAAATTACATAAAAGAACTACAAGGAAATTTTAGAAATGGAAAATAAAATATTAGAAATAAAAATTTAATGTATGGACTCAAAAGAGAAGAAAGAGTCTCTGACCTTGAAGACATTAACCAACTTAAATAATAAAGAAAAAACATATTTTTAAAAAAGTGATCAGTCTCTGGAACTTGTATGACAACAACAAAAGGTCCAGTGAATATAACTGAAGTTCCAAAAAGAGAAGAATAGGGACATAAAAAATTTAATGGCTGAAAAAACTTAAATTTGGCCCAATACTTAAATGTACAGATTTAAGTACTTCAGTGAACACCAAACATGACATATTCAAAGAAAACCACCTTTAAACACACCATGACCAAACTGCTGAAAATCAAAGATAAACAGAAAATCCTGGAGGCAGATAGAGAAAAGCAACACATTACACAGACGGAATGATGACTTAAATAACTGCAGACTTCTTCTAGGAAAATATAGAGACCTGAAGACAGTGGAACAACACCTTGAAAATGCTAAAAGAAAAAAAAAATTATCACCCTGAATACTACACATAGCAAAAATATCCTTAAGGAAGAAAGTGAAAATAAAGGCATTTTTGATAACAAAAAACCAGAAAATTTCTTGCCAGAAGACCTGCTTTATAAAAAATACCAAAGGGAGTTCTTCAAGTTGAAGAGAAAATGATACAAAGGGAAACTTGGATCTTCAGGAATGAAGGAAGAGCATCAGAAATGGTAATTATGATGATGAATATGAAGGCTACATTTTTACCTCTTCAGTTACTTAAAATATATATGACTATTTCAAGCAAACATTGTAACACCACCAGGAAAGTTTTCAATGTGTGTGATTATGTATGAGTGTGTGTGTACAGTTGATGTATACATAGCAAAAGGGCAGTAGGGGTGAGCAGTTGGAGAAAACTATATGATTACAAGTCATCTACATTTCACGTGATGTGGTACAATATTAGACTATTAGAATTAGTTACGTATACCAAGACCCCTAGTGAAATTATTTTTTAAAAAATAAATACAGCCAAAAAATCAAGATACACTAAAATGGAATATTAAAAAAAAAAAAAAGGGCCGGCCCGGTGGCGCACTGCTACAGTGCGCCGCTTGAGAGTGCGGTGGCGCTCCCGCCGAGGGTTCGGATCCCACGTACAGACCGGCCGCTCACTGGCTGAGCAAGGTGCGGATGCGATACCGAGGGTTGCAATCCCGTTGCCGGTCCCGGTCCGGTACGGGCGCGACGCTGAGGGTTGCGACCCGTTGCCAGACACGAAAAA